AAATGGAACAAGAGCTATTGGATAGACTACCAAAAAAAATATACTCTGGAGTACACAGAGAAAGAAAGAGACTGGCTGAGGAGACTGGACAGAAATTAGGTAAGAAATATCTTGTAAGTTGACCTTAAGCAAAGGTGGGACTTGAACATATGGAGATGGCAGGGCAGGCAAGGATAGTTCAATCATAACAAAGCATTTGCAGTGGAGAAAGTGGAAGAACAGCTTGGAAGCTAGCAGGCAGGCCCTAAATAACACCATCAGACATAAGAACAACCAATTATTCCTTTTTATATCATGGTTACCTGTGTTACAAAGAAATAGTTCTAGGATATCTGCTCAAGAAAATCGCAGAATTTTTAAGAATGTAAATGTGGCTTGCCATAAATAAAAATTTTATCCACACATTAACACACTGTAGGAGTACATTTCATATTGACTTTCTTTTTTTAAAACTTTTATTCTGTAATTTTTAATTATTTATGGACATATGTCCTAAAAAGTGTCATGAAACTGCTTACAAATATTCACACACTATTCAACACTTCTTCCATTCCAGAAATAAAAACGTGCTCTAGGAACATGCTCCAAATGATCGTTTCTGTCACTAATTCAGCTTCAAGTTTGACAAATGTTTTAAAGCTTATGTGCAAAGCACTAGATTCTGTGCAGAGAAAAAGATGAAAGCAGCCACATAGGACCCCTGGGCAGAGGAGAGATCAGTATGAAGACATGACTTTAGCTTCCAGACAATGGATTATCCTAACAATGAGAATCGCTGGCTGTGGATCCTCCAAACTGGAGAGATTTCAACTTCCCAATATCTCTCCCCATCCTCATCTGTGTTACACCAAATAGGCCGTCACCTGGTGGTGGGCGTGGAGAGCTACATGGAATTTCAGTGGGGCCTGAGAAGCCCTAGAGATGGGAGCAGAAGTGAGATTCCCTTCCCCTCTGTATGAGAAGGTCTGATTTCAGATTGTGCCTCCATTACGGCTCCCACATCTGTACTCGCTGAAATGTGATCAAAGCTGGTTATCTGGGCCCCACCAGCCCCAGGGTTATTATTTTGTCGTAATCTGCACATCGGCCACAAGCATGGTATCTTAGTGGGCAAGTTTACGAACAGGAAGGAGAGAACCCAAAGACCTTTCTTTTACTTGGGGACCTACTCTGGATTCCTTAACACAGCCGTTAGCAGGCACTCCGGTGAACAGACGGGAAAGCACCCAACATTCACAGCAGTCATTTCTGCTACTTGTCATAGTGCTGGTAAGAAAGGAAACAAAATAAACCATCTGGAAAGGAAAGGGTAAAGTCACATCTCATTCTTCCTGCTGGGTATTTCTAAGCCTTGCTTTCCTTACCACTTGTCCATGGAAAGCCCTGAGTTCTCAGCCGGTGGGAGTGGTTCACTTGATTCCCATTTGCTAGACCTTCCTCTCCCTTCCTCCCTGTCCTAACTGAGCTGTTCATAAAATCTAGACCACAAAATCCATGACAACGCGGAGCGCAGTGAACAATGAGAGCATATGCACAGACCCTTCAACCAGGCTTTTGAGCTAACACAAATCAAATAACTTTTAGGAAAATAAGTCTGGCATTAAAAAGAGAATTGGGAGCTGGAATAAGATAAAAGCTAAGCCTCAAGCTCAAACACAGACCCATTTCCATCATGAACGAGCAGGGAATATATGAATTACTATAAGGACTTTTATGATTTTCTTCAAGAGAATTTAAAAGCAAGCCCAAAATGTTTGAATACTTTCTAGAACATTTTAGTAGTCTACTATTGATGTAATGCTAATTGAGTATGGTCACATGACTATAATATAATACACCAATCCAAAAAAAAAGTTCACTTTATACTATACATAATATCTTTTTGGATTTGAAATATATATACACAGAAAAAAACAAATCTAGATTTCCTAGGTCAATGTCCTCAGTGAATGCCGCTATAAGATAATGCCTTCAGGAACTTCCCTGGCAGTCCAGTGGTTAAGATTTTGCTTTCCAACACAGTGGGCATGGGTTTAATCCCTGGTCTGGGAGTTAAAATCCCACCTGTCTCGTGGCCAAAAACCCCAAACATAAACCAGAAACAATATTGTAAACAAATTCAATAAAAACATCAAAAATGGTCCACATCAAAAAAAATCTTTAAAGATAATGCTTTCTGCCTTTAGAATAATGATTCACGTTAATACTAAAAATAGTAGGCTTTGCAGAGGTCACCACAATCTTGATAGATCCTTCATCCTTGGTTAATGTTTCTATACAAGAACTATGTCTTTTTCAGCATATGCAGCAGATGGGAAGTGGTCACCAATATGTACTGGGGATTAAAGGGACACATGTTTTTCCCTCTCGAGTATTAATAAATTCAGTCTTCAGCCATTCTTCCCAAACTTTAATACATTTTTATAGAAGATTAAGAAACCTGTCTCCTCAACTTCCTCCCACTCCCTCCTTTTTTCCTTTTCTCCCTCTATCTACCAACAAGGTTAAGGTTCCCTCCCTCTTCGTGGCATGAAAATGACTATAATTTACTCTTTCTGGTTAAAACAAAAAATATCAAAATGAGCATCGACAAATGCAAGATGATTTTGATGCAAGAGTATTTCCAAAGGGAAATAGGGTCAGGAGACTCCCTGAGAAATACTATTCCTACATTTCCATTCTGCTCACTTTATTCTTATAAAGTAGAATTGCTTGTTCGAGTTTCCCTAAATGTTGAAGTTTTACCTATATCCTGAAATCTGCTAATGATCTTGCCAGAACTTAGGTGCTGTTCTTCAAGAAAGACAGCGTACTTACTACTGGCTCCACAATATTTGATAATGTATATAGTGACAGGAATAGATGGCAGAGCAGTATTAAACTGGTAAAAGTTGATGATTTAGCCAACTGCACTTTTCTCTAATACCTTAGGCGAAAAATAGTCCTCACCTTGTTCAGTCAACAAAGTCCAAAAAGAACAATAAAAACTCACTAGGGTTGGAAAATGCAAAGTACTACCTTACATAAATGCATTCTTGAACTTCATGCTCCCCAAGTTCAGCCTTCTGGGGTGTTAAAATATCATACTATAAGAAAAGGGATAGAGAAAAAAAATCTAACAGCAGAGAACTAATTAGTTCCACAGGGACACACTAGACAGGAAGACCAAATTTCAAAGCAAAGAGTGTAATCCTCAAGTAGGAAAAACTATAAACATGAGTCACTTCTTCTATTCAAATCCAATCCCTTCAAGCAGACACTGGGGACCTCCCTGCAAAGTAACAAGAGCACTGATTGACAAGTTTATCTATGGGAAGTTGCTGCCATCCAAGTCAATAATCTGCACGAGCACTCTTAATGCATGAAAAGTCTAAGAGAACTCACCAAATGAGGACGTACGGAAACATGGAGAATCTGTTCTCCCAGAGGAGACTGGCGGGCACCTTCTTCTTTGGGCCATCATCCAACATTTCTCTAAGAATTCTCTCTTCTACCTTCATAAATCCAAAGTTCTCTATAAAATTTAGTGATTGGAACAAGAACTAGTTTTCTCTCTATTACTGCTTTCTTCTCCAACTCCCCTCTCTCTTTCCACATTTTCAGATAGAATGAGATCACTGTCATTCATATTAAATTGAGTTCCTATCTGTCCAACCTTTAGCCTTAGAATGAAATTGGAGACATTCAGGAATGTGCTTTGGTGGAGACTAGTCTACCTGGTCCTACCTGCTGGGCTTTATATCCCCTGTGGGTGAGGAAAAGAAACAGCCTGCCTCCAGTTAGAATGCAGTCAAAAACTCTGATACACAAATGGAAAAAAAAGAAACCTCCAGGGTCAAGGGTCTAAAAACAGAAGCAAAGGGAGTGACATAAACCCAGTGCTGATTTTCCACTGCTAAGTTGTCATCACTGACGCCATGCATACTTATCTCTGAAGCCACAATATCATCTGTAGACATCGGTGGCTACAACAAAAGAAGGGAAATAAACCCATGTCCTCACATTGTCCTCATGTCCAAACTCCATTTTCCAAAGTTGGTTGTTGCAGCCCACCTCTGAATTGAATTTTCTAACCTGAGAGGGCCCTGCTTCCTTTTCCCTGACTCTCATGCATGCTCTCTACAGGTGACATACTAGCCACGTATCAAGCCCTAGTGATATAAAAAAATAATTTTTAAAATAGCTCCTTTATTCATGTGTCTGTTAAACGCTAGAGAAGAAAATGGCAACCCAGTCCAGTATTCTTGCCAGGGAAATCCCATGAACAGAGGAGCCTGGCAGGCTATAGTCCATGGGGTGGCAAAGGGTCGGACACGACTGAGCAACTGCGCAGTGCTACTACTACTGTGAAACACGCAGCACCTAAGAAAGGAACAGATGTCACAAATTGCGTTTTTCAACCTTTTTTCATTATCACCACTCTTTAAGAAACATTTTAGGCATTTTTTTCCTAATCATACTCCTTCATAAAATCTTTAAAAATCATAAAATCTTCATAAAATCATATATACAGATATCCTATCAGTATTTATGTGACATATTCTCATAAAAAGAGTACAGTATTTTTCATCCACCAAGAACCAGTTTTCTCCCTCTTAAGGAGAGGTAATCTCTATTGAGAATTCGTGATCTTGATGCATGCAACAACGGAAGTAATTATGCCAGAACTATTTAACTACTGATAATATTTAATGGAATGTAAATCACTAAAAAGATCGCCTTTCCTTTAGATCAGTAATCTGTATTGAAGAGAAAGTCTTCTCTTCAGGAAAGCAAAGTCTCCATCTCCTGAGATTCTAAAACACAAATCTTCTTCCTTCTGTGCCCACTACCTCTTTGCCTTACACAGAAAAAGTCTACAGAATTAAGCAGTGTCTCCCCTCAAGTGAATGCCAAGCCCAACGAATGAGTTCTTTCTTCAACATCGAAGCATTTCATTTACGCACTAAAACACAAAGTCAACCCATTTCCCACTCCAGAAACTAGATAAATGTACTTGCCTCTTGCCGTTTGAAGTTCTGGACATATTCTTCAAACTGTTCATCTTTTGTCTCGTCAGCTTTCCCAAGCTTCTGAAGGACCTAGTTCATGAACAAAACAAAATGGCTCTATTTACTAATGTTTTCAACAATCTGTGGAAGAAGACTATTGTTTCACTCTTCTGAGGAGATCTCCCTCTTTACACTGCTAGTTTTTCTGTTCTGGAATCATCATGGCCCAGTGCCTTTGGAGTTGGACAGACTTGGATTTTAAGCACAGTTCCACCACTCTAAGGCTGAATGACCTCGTGGAAGAGTCATGCTATACTGAAATATTTATTTATTCACATATCTTTTCTCCAATAGGTTGTACATGTCTTAAAGACAAAAACTAGGCCTTGTCTTTTTGTCCAAAGTATCTGGCACAATGCTTGATGCATAATAGTTGCTCAATTTTTTGTTAAACAATGAACCAAAGTTATTTGAGGAAAGTATTAGCCTATTTCATAGGGATGGTTTTAGAATTACTGGAGCCAGGTATATGGTAAGTTCTCCCCCACCATCTCCTGATAGACCCTTCAATTCAATAATTGCTCAAAGAAGGCCCTGGGATGCACAAGGCCCATATGAAGCACTAGTCATCCAGAAATATATAAATGAATAAAACAAAGCCTCAGGACTTAATCTTAAGAAACTTATTATCTAATGAAGTAGACAAGGCAAGTTTACAAATAAATCAAGACAATGTGTAATAAGCAACAAGGTTACAAGATGTTAGAAGCAATATCCCTTCAGGGAATGCTGGTGGAGATTATTCAAAATGTGCTGGAATCCAGCAATTCCACTTCCACTCCTGGGCACATATCTTGACAAAACTGTAATTCCAAGATATACATGCACCCCAATGTTCATTGCAGCACTATTTACAATAGCTAAGAGATTGCAGCAACTTAAATATACATTGACACATGAATGGATAAAGGAGACGTGGTACATATATACAATGAAATGCTACTCCGCAATAAAAGAGTGAAGAAATGCCATTTGCAGCAACATGGATGGACCTAGAGAGTATCATACTAAGTGAAATAAGAGAAAGAAAATACCATATAATATCACTTGTATGTGTAATCTAAAATACGGCACAAACTTATTTACAGATTTATTTTTATTTGTGCTTATTTACAGCACAAACAGAAACAGATTCATAGATATAGGAAACAAACGTGGTTACCAAAGGGGAAAGGGAGTGGAGGAGGAATGAATTAGGAATTATGCATTAGCAGAAACAAACTACCATATATAAAATAGATAAACAACAAGGTCCTACTGTATAGCACAGGGAACTATATTCAGTGCTTGTAATAAAGCATAATGGAAAAGAATATGAAATATATATATACATGTATGAATCACTTTGCTGTATACCAGAAACTAACATAACACTGTAATCAACTACAACTTTTAAAATGTGCTGGGAACTCCAGCAGAAAGGAATGTGGCAGAGTACATTCCAGCCAAGGAAGCAGTCTAAGAAGGACCACTGGAAAAATTATGGTGGACTGGGCATAAGTGTTTCTGTTTTCCTAGAGCACAGGATGGGGTATCAGAAGAAACAGAAGAAATGGTTCTCAGAAACATAGCAGAAAGTTACTTTGGGCCAAAGCAGAAGGATCCTGAGAGCCACATGGAGATCACTATTCAAGGTTCCCAAATCTAGTATCTAAAACACTGACTTATTTAAGAATTTACAAAAGCTCCATAAACATTGCCTTCTCAGAATTTGTATTCCCTATAACATTACCAAATATATTTTCCTGAAGCATAAACATATGGGCATTAAAACATATATTCAAACAAAGCACTTTCTATAGCTAAGTTTTAGGGCTTCCCAGTCCATTCAGTGGTAAAGAATCCACCTGCCAACGCAAGGTGGATAATATGGGATGACAAGGTGGATGACTGACATGAGTTCAGTCCCTGGGTGAGGAAGACCCTTTGGAGAGGGAAATGACAACCCACTCTAGTTTTCTTGCCTGGAGAATCCTGCGGACAGAGGAGCCTGGTGGGCTACATTCAATGGAATTACAAAAGAGCCAGACAGGACTTAATGACTAAACAACAACAATGGCTAAGTTTTACATCAGTTTATGCTAATTTGTTTCCTAAAATCAAAGATGTAATTTTGTACAAATTGAGAATTCCTTAGACCAGTTTAGAACGTCTTAAATAAACCTAAGTATGGAAGTATTTACCCAACAACACAGAGTCCTTGCAGATTCTTCCAAGAAATAAATTTTCTTTGGAGGTAAATAATAATTATTCTAAGTAAGTAAGTAAAAAATGATTATTTTATTTTACACTAAAGCTAATTGTTTATAGCATATGCTAATATTCCTTCTTTTCACATTAATAAACATATTTTTTAACTTATATAGACTCACATATATTACCAATTACTCAACTTCACTCAATGTTATTTCACAAACCAATACCACATATGAATAAAATGAAAGATATATTATTCCTCATTGCAAATTTATTATTTAAACAGAGTTGGACGAATCCAGTAACATAACCACTAAAAGGACAAATAACCACTCTATCAGCTAATAATCTCTTCTCAGTTAAGAGTTTCTTTGAGAGACAGATTAGAAAACACTAAATTTTTCAAAGAACTGGACATAGTAACTAAGGAATAAGCTGATAAGCATAAAAAAATGATCAAACATACTTACGGAACATTTTAAAGTTAGCAGTTGTTATTCTTGGATGGTAAGATTCAGAGTGATTATTATTTTTCTTTATAATTTGCTATATTTGCCATTATTTCCTAAATGGTCATATGTTACTAAAATAATCAGAAAAAATCATAAAGATAAATAATCAGTTTATCATACTGAGAGCCTATATGTAAGAGATTTATGTATTAGATTCTAGTACAAGTGAGAAGATTGTTAGTAACTGGCTGAAAGACTCTCCTCAAAAGAAATTGATGAGTGAATTACTATCAACTGGAAGAAAGATTTCCAAAGGCAGCCCTTAGGACCTATGTCTGATTCAGTGGTTCATGTGTAAAGAGAGGGTTATCAATAGTACTTACTTTACAGTGTTGTATGAAACTACCAAGGATACATGTGGAAAGGCAGAGCTTTGGTGCCTACCATATAACTGTTGCTGTTGTTGTTTAGTCACTGAGCTGTGTGCGACTCTTTTGCAACCCCATGGACTGTAACCCACCAGGTTCCTCCGTCCATGGGATTATCCTGGCAAAAATACTGGAATGAGTTTCCATTTCCTCTTCCAGGGGATCTTCCCAACCCAGGGATCAAACTTACATCTCCTGCACTGGCAGGTAGGTTATTTTCTACTGAGCCACCAGGGAAGCCCAGCAAATAATTAATGCTCAATAAATGTCTACTCTTATTAGAGATATTATATAACCTGATTAAATAACTTATCAATGGCCTAAACTTACATTGGCAAAAAGCTGGGGAGGATATTGGATATGTTACATGCTGAGAATAAGGATTCACAAAAAGAACTTTAACAATTGAAATGTAACAAGGATAAAATGTAGGTCAAAATATAATTGTCTAAGTACCAGATTTTTGTATTCAACTTTCAACTATAATACAACATGATGGATGTTAAGAATACATGGTTTCTGCTCTTAAATAGAAATAAGGAGTCATTTCAGCTGGCAGTCAATATGAGTTGACAAAGTGTTACTGTTGCCAAACAATCTAACATAATCTCAGACTGCACTAATAAGCCTGAGAGATAGAGGAGAGCAGTCTTGAAAGCCTCTCTGTTGGATGTGAGGGTGATCTGGTTGCAACATCTGTCACCCCATTGATCGCCAGGGTTGATTCGGCTGATCTGGCTGGCTAGGCAGGTGTCCCCTTCCTCCCTCACCGCTCCATGTGCATCCCTCCTGAAGCTGCGCGCTCGGTCGAAGAGGACGACCATCCCTGATAGAGGAGGACTGGTCTTCGGTCAAAGGTATAGGAGTAGCTGCGCTCCTCTGTTAGAAAGCCTCTCTTTGGTGGACTAGTTGGTATACACAAAGATACATAGACAACCCTGAGCCAGCTGAAAGGGCCCCCAGAAAGGCAGAGAGCTGACACCATAAGGTAAGAGGCATATGTGACACAGTACACTGCATGTTAGTCGCATGCCCGACCCTTGTGACCCCATGGACTACAGCCCACCAGGCTCCTCTGTGCATGGAATTTCCCAGGCAAGAATCCTGGAGAGGGTAGCCATTCCCTTCTCCAGGGGATCTTCCCCACTCAGGGGTCAAACCCCTGTCTCCCGCATTTCAGGCAGATTCTTTAATTAATATATTACCAGGGAGAAAGTACTACTATCTTCAGATACCTGAAGAGAACCAACATAAGGAAGAAAGATTGGACTTTTCCCAATAAAAAACCAAGATCAAGAACCAGCACAGAGTGACTTCCCTGGTGGTCCAGTGCCTGAGACTCCCCACTCCCAATGCAGGGGGCCCAGGTACGATCCCTGGTCGGGGAACTAGATCCCCCGTGCCACAACTAAGAGTTTGCATGCGGCAACTAAAGATCCCACATGCCGCAATGAAGACCTGGTGCAGTCACATGAATAAATTAAATAAATGGTATTAAAAAAAAAAAGAACCAATATGGATAGATAAAAGCTATATCAAGAAAATGGATGGGGAATACATGTATGGCTGATTCATGTCAATGTATGACAAAAACCACTACAATATTGTAAAGTAATTAGCCTCCAACTAATAAAAATAAATGAAGAAAATAAATAAATAAAAGATAATTCTTGGGAGAAAAAAAAAGAAAATGTTTTCACCGCAAATTTCTATCATGTGTTCCTAGAAATTAGTTTGTTGGTGGAGGAATGAGCTCACTGTCCTAGAGTTATTTGAGCTTAACCCAGAGTTAGAAGTTCTACAAAAGGAATTTATTCATTGAAAAGATGAATGGAATAAGTCCTATTTCAAATACCTTCTAATTCTTGAATCCATAATCAATGTATAATGTTAGACATTTTCCCTAGAGAAGAATACAAATCTCAGTGAATAGAAGGCAGAGAAGAATGCCTGT